TTCTCTATAGAACTGCTTGAATATTGCTTTGCGCTCTATAACTATCCTCTTTCTTCGTGATTGCTGACTTGTTAAGGAATTGCCGTTCGCATCTGTTGTTATTACTCTTGTTGTTTAACGGCTTGTAACCGAGATTCTTGGATCTTGGGGAATGATAAGGTTGCTCAATAACCGTCGCTTTAAGTAATCACAAGACACTGTATTTGCTCAAATCTTGAGCGACTCGAAGGCTTGGACGATAATGGGATCATCGCTCTGAGCGACAGTAAGGCGCTTCATTCGCTCAGATCCTGAACGTCCTGCAGGCTTAGGCGATGATAGCACTTTGTTTATGGGCCTCCGTTATATTCTACAATGGTCTCATTTGGGCATATATCTTGAACTCCCTAGCTGAGCTCCAATTCTTGAACCATTTACTTGAGCTTCACTTAATCAACTATACGTAATTCTAAAAGATTGTTCGGTATGATGTTTAGATCTTGCTACATGTATATCAAGATTTACATAATATCACATAGCACTCTACCAATTGTAAGTTTAAAGCACAATCAAATTTTTCATCCGATCTTTTCCCTCCACGTCATATTATGTAATCTATTGTGTATATTTTTTATGTACAAATAGCAAACTCTGTAATACTTTTCTCATCATTGAAATTTTTACCAAAGTGCTTTTTATTATGAATATTACCCTTTTCATGAAATGTAGTTCAACTTTCATTTGAGCAGCAATGTCTTTAACAATAATCATGTCAAGTTCTAATCCATATTATGTTTCAAAAAATGAAAGTGATTTCAAGTTACTAATAATAGCATCACTAGACATATCCTTATTTTTTAACACCTTTCTTGCTTTATTAATAACAGATAATATATTGTACCAAATAATTATGCCAGACAAGAATTCAAAATCCATAGTGTTAAAAGATAAACTTTTAGTATCTTTAAATGCCTTAGTGTCATCATATTTTTCCACCAAGTATTTTAAAGCATTTTTTTATTTTTGGCACTTTAAATCTTATTACTTTTAACACTTTCAACTTGATTTTCTCAATGTGTTTGTGATAATGGCTCAAGTCTTAAGACTTCACACATTATTGTGAAATTTTTTCCGTTGTTTTGTAAAAGATGAAAACAACAGACACAGGATCCATGCATTGTACAATTTCAGAAAATATTTAGCTTTTATGTAAAAATTTGCCATGTTACAAAATGTAAGAATATAAAACTGTTTTCCTGAGAAATTTTCTTAATTATTTATAAATATAGTATCTAAAAAAAAAAAAACTCGCCAAAGGGACATTAGACCACTGTCTACTCGGCCAATAGTCAGGCCGGGCAATATGGAGGAATCCCATTTTCTTCTACTATAATCTTCTTATTCCTATCATTATCCCGATTCCGAGCTAATGTAGTCAGCTCAAGAGCAGCCTCGGCGCGGGCCCATTTGCACTGCAGCTATATAAGACCACAACCAAGCTAAAAACGGATCATTAGTAGCAATTTGAGGTAAAGATAAATTTATAGTCCCATTTTCCGGAATTGGGTTTGAAAATTGAGAGAAGCTAATGAACATCAGCTGAAGAAGAACCAAGAAGATTACCCACTTTTTTGAAGTCAGTGGTGGTGGTGATCGACAGAACATAGCGGAGAACATTAGTCTTTTTTTGTTTACACTTGCGGGAGAGTGCGAGAGCACGGTCCAGGGACTTTTGAGATCGGCGGTGACTCGGCGGATTGGGCGGTCGTAGGTGAAAGCGGTCATGAGGCGCGCGGAGGTGCAGGGAGAGCTGGGTTACTTGAGTGGCGAGGTCGTTGTTTTCAGGCTTGAAGGATTCAGCTTCTTTAGCTGATTTTATTACTCTTTCAGCGATAAGAATTGGGAGAGAAATCTCTTCTTGAATTGGATTCTTCTCCTTGTGCCATTACCACGGATTCAAGTTATTTTTCCGGCGGAGGGGAAGTGGAAACCGCCGTGTAGAGTGGCGTGGTGGTGGAAATAAGCCGGGATTATTAATTCCTTAATTTAGCCACTTCCAAATTTCATGGAATTTACCACTTTTCAAAATAAAATTTTATTAACTTTTATCAAATATATTGAAAATCTGATTTTAAAAACCAAATAGGAGCTACTTTTATTTTAAGGAATCTTCTCCTTGTAATCAATCTATCATATTTAAGGTAGCGATGTCAATTTGATTTGTCTATTCGAACAATTCGTTGCTCGATCCTAAAAAAGTCTAAGCCGACTCGGCTATGACTCGAGAGAACTAAGTCGAGCCGTATTTTTGAGCATCAGCCCAAACCTGAGCCGACCCATGTGGCTCAACGAACAAACAGACCGGCCCCTGTGTTTGGCCATTTTGGCATGCGTTTTGAAATGCAAGCTCGCCTAAGTTTATTTTTAATATCTTTCAATGTACTATCAAATCATAATTATATTATCATGGGTCGTCGGACTATTCTTTCGAGATTGCACATCATTATATTGTTAAAAAGGGGGGGAGTGAGGGGGATTTCATAATTAAGAGGTTAAGTATTACATATTTCAAAACTAAAAACAAATGTTTCAAATATCAAAAATTAGATACTAATTAAAATTTATTTATGATTTAATTAATTAAATAAATATATTAAGTTCACAAATTTATACAATTTGATCACAAATTAACGATTTAATTACTCATATATTATTTTCGATCACAAATCAGAAATTTTATGTCACAAATTATTTTACTTTCACAATTCAAAAATTGTATAGGTCATAATTTGTTTATCGGTCATAAATCAAAAATTTATAAGTCACAAATTATCATACAGTCACAATTCAAAAATTTAATAGGTCACAATTTGTTTATCGGTCACAGATCAAAAATTTATAAATCACAATTTATTTATCGATCATAAATCACAAATATTATAAGTTACGACTTATTAGACAATCACAAATTAACAATTTTTTAAGTCACACTTTTTTTTTTTTCACAATTTATCTTTTTGACAAAGTTGATAGTCACGTGATCAATTGCTTCTTGGATAGTCTCAAATCTGTGGATTTAAACCTTTTATTTAATTAGTTAGAAAGTATAAAATAAGTAGAATTTGAAGAGAAGGGAAGGGAAGGGAAGGGAGCAAGAAATTGCTTGAAGTCTATCCAAGTCATATGTCCACTTCGTATTTTGTAGCAATGAACAATAAAGTTATTGTAAACAATCCATGGATTCAATAAACTTCGAGTACTATAGAGATACATAGTGGACATTGGACGCTATGGAACTACGCAACAGTGGAACTCAACATAAAATTAATCGAAAAACTCAATATTTTAATTAAAAGCTTGTTAGTCCCTGTGCATAATCTGTCAAACCATATTTCGTAAAATCCACAAATACAAAATATTTATTCACCATTCATCTCTATCGGTTAATTATTTAAACAGATTATGATCACTATCAAAACATGCACTAAAATGGGCATTAAGGAAGAGAAGTTCCAAACAAGATTAAGAAGCCAAAACCTTGAAATTAAAAGTATGTTTTGAATGACTTATCTTAAAGATAAACTACAAATGTGCATTGTATTTTTAACGAGGACACATACATTCAAAATAAGCCAATATAAACCATACATTGGGCTTATCTTAAGACAAGTCACCTTAAACATTCTCTAAGAAGCTATTTTAAACATATTTTTAAAGTACTTTATCAAATTAAAAGAGTTTTTAGAGGAAATCGATCCAAATTAACTTGCTCAAGATGGATCATCTTCCTCTAAAAGCTCTTTTACAAAAGAGCAAAAGTAGAAGTTTATCCCAACAAGGTCCTAAAAAAGATGAAATTCGTAAAATATTTATAGCCATTCCAGCATAGTTTAAGCAAATATTCGACTAAACGAAGCAAATAAACAAGCCAAAGTCAGTAACTACTAAGAGACTGTAACACGGACCCAAATGGAAGCAGTGAAATCCATTTCTATATAAACACATAGATCCAACGCGCTAAAACTAAAATATTCCACAAAATCTGAAATACAAGATATTAATAAGAGTGGCAGTGAGAATTTCTCAAGACAAACTGATTACATGGCTATCCCTTCAAAGCTTTGCTATTACAACAGATGGGATAGGCTTTGCTCCACCGTTGTCCTTCACGTCATTCTCCTTGGCGTCTGTCTCGCAAGCATTAGGTGGGACGTCCACTGCTGGGGAGCAGTTGAAGAACCCATGTGGCTGCACGCACAACCATTGATGATAATACAATAAGCAACGGTGAAAAGGAAAGTAAAACGAGATAATAATTATTTAAACTTGCACTTCAATGTTGTTACAGCATTCAAATGATTGACCGATTCAAAAAAGTAAAATAAAAAGGTCCAAACTGGGACATTCACCTGAAGCATAAAACCAATGCGTTCCACAGGCATAACCGGCCAGTCTTCCAACCGAGGAACATGTGTGATTCCAAAAACATACCTGCAATTAACACAATAAATGAAAACAGGAGATTTCAAACATTTCGCCCGCATGCTGCTGCCATTGAGCTAAATGTGTTGTCTCAGAGCAATTACTTTTGGTGCTTAGGTTCTATTATTAGAACAAACATGATTGGGTAAAACAAGGATATCCCAGTTACATAACTCAGAAAGTTGATGAAACTAACCATAGAACAATATCAGCTTCTTCCAGAGACCGATTTTGCTTCACATAAGAAGCCAATCCCTCTCCAACACGTGGATTCTGATTAGGAAACTCTCCTCCTGGAAAGTCCTCCCCCTTCTTATATTGTGTAACCCATAGATTATGCTTCAAAAATGCAGCTCTTCTCATAAACTTCGCCTCCGGACCAGCCAGTGGGAGACAGTTAGAACCAGGTACCAGTTTATAGCCAGTCAGCTGTCCGTTCCTATTTACAGTTCTCGTGTTTCTAATCTGCAATGTGGAACAATACAATCAAGATGATTGGCTGAAAATAAAAATTTGAAGAGGGTATTTGATTATTAGCCCCTGTTTTATATCCATTAAAATGAAATTTTTGGGAAAATGAGTTTTGCAATAGTTATTTTTTGGAGAATGCATGGTTAAAAAATGGAAAAAAATTTGAATTAATGTGCAAAATATTTTATTGCGTGAATATGTGGTTGAAAATGAGTTTGAGAAAAAAAGAATTTTGATTTAATGGATGTCAAACAGGGGCTAAGGAAAATCTTTCTAAATAAAACATGGGTACAAAGCAGTAGCCGAGTTGTTGGGGGTAACATAGAGCCCAACAAATCAAGCCTTTGATCAACTATGCATAATACACGGGGTTATACACTGCATTATGAGAAGCCAAAAAAAATGGAAAAAGAGATTATTTCTCTCTTCATTATAGAAAGAACAAGCAAAAAATCATATCATAAAATTTGCAGCAAAAAATTGTTGTTTATTTGGAGAAAAGATTACATGTTCAATCGTCCACATAATAAACAAAAGGTGACCTCCTTTCTCTAAAAAGTGCCCAACTATTAACACTTCAAATTGAATTCATTCTAAACAAAAGGCAAATATGAGTAAACAATTACTTAAATCATGATATTAGGTCAGAATGCTTACAATCCAATGGCGAGCCGAGAAAGGATCACAATCACGCATGGCTTCTAATTCACTTCTAAGCAAAGTTTCCTCAGCATAAAAAGCATTGTTGTGAACATTATCCTTTCCAGGTTCTTCAACTTTGACATTCACTTCAACAACCTAAAGATAATGGAAATAATAAAGAAATGGATAAAATAAATTACCTTACCTAGGACTGGTTGTATCCAAATCCATATAATTTATCATTAAGCAACCAGAGAAGATTGTCAGCAAGATTTTGAATATAGAATAAACTAGTGTCAACTTCTTGTGTATTAACACCAAAGTGATAAGAATATGCCACGAATTAATATGCTTTGGTGGAATTGTAAAGTTATGAGAGAAACTTACTAACTCAATACCATGTACCTGATTGTGTGCTTCTCCAGGCTTGCAGTCAACTGCCATATCCATACGAGCAACAAAAAAGTGTTGATGAACTGGGGCATATAGTCCTGGGGCAATTGTTGTGCCATATTTTCGAGATTCTCCTTGTTGCAGTGCTCCTAAACTGAGAATTCCGGTAAGTTTAACTTCTGCTTCAATTTTCCCATCCTGCATCCAGTGATATTAAAGATCATCTTAAGTTGTAGAACTATAGAATGGTAGTTCATTTGCCTTTAGAAAGAAAAATTAAAACTGAGATCTATCAAAAAGTTTACCAATGGTCCTGCAACCAACAATATCTTGTGCAATACATAACTACCTCAGATACGAAGCTAGAAATATATGGTTTTCAACAGAAGTACTAGTAAAAAGGCGATTAATAGATATGTTTCCAGGATATGATGTCTTTAAGTTATTAAAATGATTGTTGTGATACATAATACTAAATCAGAGAAGATAGCATAAAAACATTCTAAATCATTTCTATAATTTGTAATTGAGAAAGAAAAGATAGTTATACTTTTATTTTTCCATCAATTCTCAGAACCCCCGCCTCCTCCCCACAAAGAAAAGAAAATAAAGAATAAAGAGAACACAGAGACAAGGGAAGAGATAGGTGTAAGTGAGTGAGGGTGTATAAGAACTCATGAAGCCCCAGGATAGAAGAAGAATCTGTTTTCTTTATCTTTCCCTTTTCCATTATGCTCTCCAGTCAGCAAAAAGGTGTCAGACACAGTAACTAAAATATGTGTTTTGGTCAAATGCAACCTTTTAGGTTAGACATGTGAAACAACACAAAAACTCGAAACTGACATATTTCACTACTCATCTTCAGACAAAGGTATCCTACTTGCCTGATAGAAGTGCCAGTAGAATCCATATTCATAGTTGGCAACAGTGCAAATAAAAGAAACAGTAAGACGTCTTGATCTTCGAACTTCTGCCAATCCTGTTCGCCAATCTTGGTGCTTCCACAGGATTCCATAATCTTCTTCGTGCAAACATACACAATTTTCAGTTGTTTCAACTCCTCCAGTAAAATTTGTGAAATGAGCATCAAAATACTTTATGTATCCCAAACAATCACATCCCTGAAATGGTAACATACCTTAGATTAAGATTCCAAATTGACTCATTAATGTGCAGAATCTTTAAACCGGAAAGACTGTACGCTATTTGGAAAGACAACACACCTTCTTAAGAGAGTGAGCATTCCTCCCGAGGCCATCTTCCCCAGCATCAAATGCATTCTTCCTGTAATGTGGATCATTGGGATCCCCATAGGGGACAACCATCTCCACAAAACTCAACCTATGAGCTATAGGTCTTCGACCCCGACTACCATCAACATAGGCAACCGAGTGGATAACTAAACCCTCTCTCGGAGTGAAACCAACCCGAAAGTTCCACTGTCAACCAACAATTCAACATTTATATTACGATAACCATAGAACATACAAGCAATTATAAATCAGAAAAAAATAACCTTCTGCCACTCTACATAACGTCCTTTAACTCGAAAGCTAGGTCCCTCTGGCTGAACAATTTGCAGGGGTTTCACATCACTTCTATCAACCCCTCCTCTTGTTTCACCAGGAGTGTAATTCCTCAATGGATCAGCTGGAGGTAAGGGAACAAATTTACGATCTTCAAACTCGATCACTACCATATTTTGCATATCGACAAGTACATGAATTCCTTCAACTGGTCGTGCATATCCATTTTCCAAAGGACAGTCACTCTCGGTTCTGCAAAATATAAGTGGTTTTGCAAGTCTGCGACTAGGAGAATCAGACTCGCGGTGATAACCGACACACCTGTAGCAGGGTATTCAATCCATGTGTGAGAGTTACAAAATCAATATATTTAGTCGGGTAATTCCAGCAAACATTTTAGGTATCAACTAACCAAGGATCAACCATGACAAGATCCATATCATCAATACCCCTTTTCTTCATTGCCTCTATAAACGGAGGGTAATCTTTTACAACAGCTTCACATTCAGCATACTCCACAGCGTCCTACTCCAGGGGAAAAGAAAAGGAAAGTTAAGAACAATTTTGCATCACAGAATACAACCAAATATATAATAAAATAAATAGTCTAACAACATGAGTTTGAATTCACATCTCAGTCCACATTTAAAGCTGGGAAGAAACATTCCATATTAACCAATGAACCAAAAGATAAACCTATGAATCTCGATGATATTACTAGAGTTTCTTGAGGTTTCCATCTGTGAGTGTGTGTATTTACTAAAAGATGTGCATTTTTCCATGGCAGTTGAACTGTTAAACCTTTACAAAGACAAATCCTTTATAAAAAAAGTTCTTTAATTACATCTAACTTATTGATTCAAGTGGGTGGAGAAGTACATAAAGAAGAATATAAGATATTATTTTAGTTTAGCAAGCATGTGAACATCTTAATTTTTTGGCAGGAGCAGGATAAGCCAGCTCAAATTATCAGAATGTCTACTTACACAATTTTATTTACCAATCTGTTAATCCAGGTTTCATTACCAAATTTGCTCACAATGTGCATACATATATCGCACGATACCATAAAAAATTGGTACAAGATTCCAGTGATCCAAAACTAATAAAAGATCACAGGTGCACAAGTCACTAGCTAAAAACAATACTCTCTTCATTGGTACACCCCATAATGAGTGTCACTATTTAAGCCTTTCAGTCCCGATTGAGTACGAAATTAATTAGAATACATCAACAGAATAGAAATTATACACTATCATTAGTTCCCATGCTACGTTCCACAGATTCAATAACTATATAGAGGGGGGTTGATGACAACCTCCCTCATATATTCCCAATTCAAATAGAGGGGATTATAGATCTGTAATTGGCTTTCGATATCTTTAAACTGGTGCCCCAAGAATGAGCAATAGCATATGGAGCAACTATCATGAGAAGCCTGAAATATCAAACATAAACAAGTATGTAATACATCCTAGTTTTTTATGGGGCGCACGTACACCCAAAAATAGCCATTATTCAACAAGATGCACAGTGCCTACAGAATTGAAATGCCAATATCATATTAATATTATCTAAGAGAGCATCAACTTTATGAAACCAGAGTACCCAAAAAGACTAATATTAACCAAATATTTAATTTTCTAGGACACAAATTAATAACATTCAGTAATAGTTAAAGAGTATGAATTCCTAAGAAAAGATGTGCTCAAGGAACAGAAAAACCAAGCAAATATACCATAGGCGGCTGAACATCCAAAACAACTGTGGATGAGATAACTTTTCCCCTGTGATGTCCACCTCGAGTTGTTGCATGTACTTCAGTTAGTTCAACAATCCATATACTTGTCTCATTTGATTTTTTATTGTAGACAACTAGTCTGGCCCGCCTTGGAGGAAGCTTGCTAGGAATTTCCAGTCCTCCTTTGGTTCTAGGCAACAAAGATGGTTGGAAAGGGGAAAAGAAATAAGCATCTGCCAGTGCAACCACGTGTTTATCTGGTTCAAGTAGAACCACTTCGATAAAACGCATGCCGTCTCTCACCTGAAAATAAGAGAAAAGGTTCAGATGTTCAGTAATTGAGGCAAAAGACAACAACATATATCTGATCACTAAATAAATATCACAGCGGATGAATCATTATGAGATAAAAAACTGAAGAGTCAACCTCAGGGGTGGCACCAGCTGCCCTGACAGTTGCCACAGCCACAGAGATTTCAGCAGCAGATAAAGGATCCAAAGGATGAACAGTTTGAGCCCTAGGCATGACCTGGATCCCTAAAAAACCAAGGCACTAATTAACCAACTGGCTGCAAACTCAGTTTAGAGGAATGACTTAACCAACATTGAAATTCTCCTGATCTAATGTTCAGTCATAAAATAAACACACACAAAAAAGTGTCATACTTCATGTCTGTAAATAGCCAAGCATTGTACACTGATGCAAACATTTAACAAAGTTGGTAGCAAATGGAATTTGACTTAAACATGTGAAGCACAAACTCCACGTTGCCACACGTTATTGCAAATAAAACCATTCCAGAAATATATAATAAAACCCAATCCATCACCAAGATTCTCAACAGAAATATCACCATCCTGTTAGCAAATAAGTTATTCACGTCAAAACATTTAAATGTGCTTTCAGTAGTTAAAAGGCTAGTTAATTATATGCCAGAGCATGTTTAGGTGGGCTTATAAGCTTGCTTATAAGAAGAGAGAAAAAGTATGTTTATAAGCCAAAATAAGCCTGCTCACCCAATCATGCCCATATGACTGCATCCACACAACAAAGCCAATTACAGAACCAACTGTGCTTTCCACTTATTTAACAATGCCAAACAAAAAGCAAAAAGAAAAAAAGAACTCAATCACTGATGAGCCAACATTAGATATAAAGCTAAAGAAATATTTTCCAATTATTTAATAATAAACTGCGTTAAATTTGTTATCAAGAAAAAAATTCACTGGTTCATGTAATCTCAAAGATCAAACATTAGTTGGATGGTGTGATTCAATGATAAGAGGACAAACCTTTTCAACTCCATAATTTCCAAAAATATGCGTTTTAAGAATGGTATGTTATACACCATAAACATGCCTATATTTCTTATTCAATTATCAAAACTTCTTTTAAGTAGAAATGTAAGCAATTGTCTGCATTCTGATGGAGTTGGAGCATTAAAATAACTAACCAATATAGTATCCATACTTCAGAGTGGACTCCAAGCTATGCCATAAAAGTCACTTTCACTTTATATGTCAACTTTAGCTGTAAAACACTAATGCTTGAAACATTATAAGACTGCTGACGTACTCCGATTTCAATCTTCCAATCATAGAAAACGCTCACTGTTCTCACTTATTTATCATTCATTGAAAATTCACATTTTTAAGGATAAAAATTCTGAATGACCCAATATATTTCTTTTGAATAAGGTCAATTTTCTTGTCCTCTCGTATACCCTCTTTTTTCTCCTGAATTTGATACAATCATGTAAAAGGCTGGCAACTTCTGGAGACAGAAACTGACAGATAGATTAGCTAATAAAACATAAATTATCTATTTAATTCATTTCGTTTCTATTCACAGACACGTGCAATCAAATTTAATCATTCATTAGCAAAAACAAGAACAATATACGAATAAAACGTTAATGAATCATATGAGACATGTAGAAGGGGCAGAGAGATGAAGCATTTGGACTGGACCACAATCAAGAATTCAAGATGTGAAATCCAATAAATGTACAGTGCATGCATACAACTATTTGTCAACTCAAACAATATAGACATTTATTATGTATATATATCCTATAATTTTTTTTTAGGATGATGATAATGAGAAAAGATTACCTTTAGTAGCAGCGTTAGATGAAGGCTCGGGTCGGATCACAGACGCCATGGCAGCAGCTTTCTTGTCCTGCTGATCTTCGGCAATCGCAGACGGAACACTCCAGTCAACAGCAGAGGCAGAGGCAGAGGCCGCCTCACGGCGGACACCGGCAACGGCAGCCGCCGATCTTCCACCATCGGCAGCGCAACAAACATTACTAGGCGTCGCCTTTTTCGCAGTTGTGGCCATTGTAACTGATTAGCAAGCTCACCCAATCCACCGCAATGCGAGTCGCAATCTACTGACATACAGCAACCACTGTACTCTTCACACTTCCACCACCACCGCCACGGCAACACCACTGCCAAACCTCAATCTGAAAATTTAACACAATAAAAAATTATTCCAAACCTAAGACTGAAATCTAGGGCTTCCTTAGATCAAAACGCGCCTATATCTATATGTATCTATAGATTCATTAACGCATATAATAGAGAGAAGGTGTGGGGGTGTGTATATATAGGAAATGGGGAAACTACCCATGATGGGGGGCTCTAAAATACCTATTTGGATTATTTTTGTACTTTTTTATAAATGGGCTTATCGGGTCTAATTAGATAAGTAAATGGGTGTAAGATTGATAGGTGCAATTGCTTCCTTGATACTATTTTGATACTTTGCTTGATAAGGACAAGACTTTTAGATATGTATGATTTTGCTACTTACGACGTACCTTTCTATATAATTTGGACCATGGTTGGCACATAAAATTTTAAACTTATTAAAACAAAAAGACCTCAATTGTTGTAATCGACGCCAATATGTCCAAATTCTATAGAGAGAAGGTACATTGTAAGTAGCAAAATCATACAGTACCCAACACTGGGCCCGTATCATGCAAAGTTGTAATGAAAATTTATACTCTTACTCACTTAGATCATAATGAACTAAAATCAATTTAATTATGGGTTTTGAATCAAGAATCGAACTGTTCTAGTTCGATTCTTGGCTCTAACTGCAAAACCAAAATTTGATTCAATTTCAATTTTTTTTTATTGAATTGTAATTTATATTTAAATAATTGATAGTTTTATCGTTAAAAGAGAAAGCATGAATATGAAATAAGATACATTATAGTTCACATACAATTATAATATTATCTAATATTACTGGCGCTGAAATAAACATCTGTCTAATTTTCAAGATATTTGGACTCAATTTCTGGATATCCACCCATGTTAATATATTATATTAAATTGTGTCACTTTTGTGAACAAGACTTTAACTAGACGAGTCTTTGGTAGTTTTCATGTAATTTAATTAGCATTAATGAAAATTACCAACTTACCACTAGTATAGGTAAAAATATAATTTGCATCACATTTCCTCGTATACGTGTCAATTTTTGATACAAACAAACAAAATTATCTAAATGCCGGCTAGCATTACTCCCAACTTTAATTACATTGAAAATATTATTTTATCTTTTCAATTCATGATTTTAATAATTTTCCATTTTTTTATTTCTTGTGCAATTCAATTTAGGAAATCCGAAATGTAACAACCTAGTTTATATTTGATTTATTAGCTTAAATACTGCATTTCAAAATTTATTTTAAAAGATTTTGAATGATTAGGGACGGCAAAGTGTTCGATCTAGCATTGCTCCACCCATTTATGTAGGGATGCAGAATATTTAAAAAAACTCAATAAATAAAACGAAAATATAAGATATTTTAATTCTTGTCGTATCTATCAATAATCCTTCGGCAGTAGGGCCATCGGATTCTTTTCCATCTCTATCCGGTACCCCAAAACTCCTAGAATTAAACTACTTGTACACTTTATATATACAATAAGTTTGACATTACAAAATGTGTCAAAATTTATGTCATCGATTGTTTAAAGTATTTTTAAAATCAATGTATGAAAAATTGTCATCTCATAATAATGTCAAACTTATTGTACATATAGCAAAATTGAAAATCCCAAGCAGGCCCTAACATGATCATATCCTACCTAATCACAGATATGAAACAAGACAAACCGTATGACGTGGAATCCTAGCTGCCTAACATGCTTTACACGTAAATACATGTCATTTTCATAAGATTTATGTATTAAATTTAGAATTTTGCTAGAGGTACATTCTTGTATACATATTCCATGATATTGTCCCCACATGTGGCAGAATCTAGACAGTAATGTGAAAATGTGTTGAGGAAATTAAAGGCTATGATAGTGGCATGTGGAAGAATGTAAAAATTAATGTAAGACAGTTAAATTAATGTAAGGTAAGATGTACACCTAGCATGATTGTTAAATTTGTAGGAGGGCACTTATCCTTTGCATTTTTGTGCGAATGAGTCCACATATCTTCAAATCTTGGTAATGTTGTCTTCAACCTTTCACATTAGTGGTCCTCGCAAAAAGATTGCAAACGTTAAATAAGCATTTTTAAGTGAAATGTGCATGCTATTAGCAAGAGCAAAATCATGTCTCCTTTGATTATTGTGAAGGAATTCCTAAAAACCTAGAATGCATCTCTGCTTGTACATTGCCCGACACGGAAACGCTATCTATAAATTTCAAGTTGAATAATATTCATCTCTTTTTGAAATTGAAGGGTTAAATATGAAATTTGCAGTAATCTCATGTCGCAAAAGGAAACCCTTCTCCTTTTGAAATGCTTACATGAAATATAGCGTCGGTGAAAAGTTTGAAGAGTGGATAAAGACGGCACTGCAATTTCTAATTTGGAAAAAAACAATTGTGAAGAGCTACAAATATTAAAGGTCGTGGATCCATTTGCACAAAACACATAAGTTAAGGACATCAGCTATAATTTTCTCTTCATTTTATCTCATGGTCGCTTAGGATTGATAAGATTGTATGCTCGAGTAAATTAATTAAATACTACATAGAAATTTTATATTATTTTTAATGTTCTAGATTTTGTTAATGTTACATCAATTAATTCAAGTTGCAAGTACCAATAATATAATAGTGAATTCATGTTGTATTTATCCAAAACTATGATAAAGATTCCCCAATGTATGCATGTTCACATATTCTTGATTCCATACTACAATAATTGGACTTGGAAATGACCATGCGTCCATCATCTTTGTCCAAAGCAAAATTTCTATTTCATATTGGAATTAGAATAAACAAGTTTATACTAACCTATTTCGAAAATTGAAGCGAGTGACGATAAATTAGGTGGTTGGACATATTTTGTGTGGACGTACAATTATTGTACATAAAAGTAACACTTTCTTATCGGTATAACATGTTTAAAACACACAGCAAGCAAAATTATACAATTTATTTTGATTGCAGGCGATCTATTATATTCGAGCTTCTAAGTAGAGACGGATTCAGGATCGGACTACAAATCAGACTAATATGTAGAAAAAAATAAATTTAAACATGGAATTATTTTTCTTTTTACACAAAAAAAAAATAATAATAATGGATTGAGGACTGGGCCAGGCTATCGGCCCGATCCACCCTAAATCCGTCCCTACTTCTAAGAGATAACTATCAACGAACGTAATAAAGACACATTATGAAAAAATATCGAGACTAAAATATATTTTCCAACAAGATCAAGATAAAGTTGTACATGAAATAGAAATTTGTCACTGGTATATATATTTTAAAGTCATTTTCATTTGATAATTCACGTGACAAGTCTTATATAATTTAATTACGTGGACTCTCATTAGCAATTAGCTTAATTCACGTATTTCTTTTATAATTTAATTACGTGGACTCTCATTAGCCATTAGCATAATTCACGTTTTATAGTTTATGTTTTTTTCTTTTTAATTTATTTTCTCAAATGCTTTCGGAAATTCAATGACATGACTTATATTAACACAGCATTTTTCAAGGAACAATAATAGCCGTTGGATCTATATCTTGATGAGGTTTCATCACAATCCATTTTGATCTCTTTAGTTTAGAGTCTAAAGCCTAGGTCACATCTTCCACATTTGAACCTTTCCAAATTCCAACACGTCAAAGGTCGTATCTTGACAAGATTTCGTTTAAATCAGATACAACATTGTTAACCGTCGAAATATAAATAACCTAATAAGTTGGAGAATTTTCGAGTGGATCGATCAAGGTATTTCAATATTTTGAACCATTCACTATATTCCATATATTTCATAAGTGACACTATTTGAATCCATGTAATTATGAAAATTGAACTCGAATTTAAACTACCGATTCCAATTCAGATTCAATAATATACTACATTTTCATAAATAAAAAAAAAAAAAACAAACAAACAAACGTGACATGTACGAGTGATATGATTCAATTATTCAAAATAATGAATCTAATTAATTATGGTACTTACTACTCGGGCATTGCAAACTTACTACTTGTTGATCAGATCATGGATCGGCATGAATAAATTGGAAAAAAATAAAGAAAATTATAAAAAATGACAAATTTGGTTTCAGAAAATCGAGTATCCACTGTTCCAGTTCAAGAACAAAGTGTCGTTCGGGACCTGATTAATTTCGATTTTCTTTTTGGAACCAAACCAGAACCTTCGATTCCGGTATAAGATGTTTGATTTCGATTAAAATGTGACACCTATTTATAGAGTAGATTTTTAGGAAAATCTTGTTTAATGCTTCTTGCAACAACTCTACTTTTCTCACAATAATATATAGACTAAAAGCCTGTTTGGTAGCCATTTTTCAACCCAGAAAATTCAATTTTTTACCGTTAAACATGAAAATCAGCAGCCATTTTTGACTGCTGTCTCACATGTGGGTCCCACATGGTGTAGTTAACGGTCATTTTTTTCCTGAAAATCTTGCTAAAAATAGCTCCCAAACAGGGGCTAATTATAGAGTTACATACTGATTATGAATTTATGAAAGTCTCGTTTTAGGTTGCGGGTTACCTTTTCTATATCTCTGAAATGACATTTTATTTAAGAAGTCAAGGAGTAGAAGTTGAGAGGTAATATATCAATTAATAAGTTAGCTCGGAAAGAATAACTAAAAAGAAACAAACAATGTATAATTTCCCTCAACGACTATGTTCATCTTATTTCTTCTTACAAACCATGATAGGTGTCTAAACTCATCTAGACCCCTAGTTACTAATGTTCATATACCCATTATTGAGTCCCAAAAAAGCAATAGAAAACAAAGATTAATATGTGGATAGTCTTATCACTATTTGGGAATCCACTTATAACCCCCATAATAAGTCACATT